GATTTACTGAATACCCCATGTCTGGCTGGTTTTGCAGAGAATACCAAGCCATAAACCATGATTTCCAAAAATAGCTGGGCTCATATGACAAATTAAACGAAAACCAAACCAGCCATATTTTAGAATTTCCATTTCTTAACAGGAGTGTAGTATTCTTAATGTGATTTTTCAGGGTTTCCCACAAGTAAAAATGAAATAGAAACACATTTTGGAAAGGGTACTCAAATCTGCATAAATCACTCTATGTTTTGAAAAGCTATGTTTGGGGTTCCTAAAATCTTGCCATTCTCTAAAATGGGTGCAAAATCCTATTTTGCTGCATTCTACTAAAAATGATTGGTTTAAATTTGTGAAATACGAATACAGAATGTGTTCATTTCCTTTGGGCCTAGCTAATATCTGAAGATCTGTCACCAAATTTAGTTCTGAGTCTTTAGTTGACGAGTAAAATATGAGTCTGAGAACTTGGACCCAAAGTTTGTCAGCAGCTACATTGGCTTAGTATCTTGATTGGTTTAAGTGCTGTAGAACCACAGTTTTATGGCATGAGGTAAAATGGGAAACTGTAATTAAATGAACGGAGCTAGACAGCTGCCAACTTGTTCATATCTTGGGTTAATGAGGTATAATATTCCACACATAGCCATGATTGAACCCCAGATAAATTACAAATGAACCACCCTGCCCCCCAATTGTTTTGGAATACAGAAAATGGCTGCTTCAGATGAAGGGATGACAACTGATCTGTTTTCTCTGTAGAGAAAAGCCGATAATTGCACTGCTTAAGACAGATGCCAGTTAATTTGTATTTACAATGCATGATGACTCACGTGCTATTTTTTTTTGTTTTGCAGGAAAATGAATGTATGAGGATAAAAATTTTGGGAGACTGTTATTACTGTGTCTCAGGCTTACCCGTGTCCTTGCCAGTACATGCCAAAAATTGTGTAAAAATGGGGCTTGACATGTGCGAAGCAATAAAGTATGTACTTTAAAAATTTAGTTTAAAGGTTAGGAGTGGTGGCGCCGGAACGTATAATATAGCAGTACGATAATGTGGCCTCATAATCTTCTGAAAAGTCTTATTCCTGTCACTGTACCACTGCACTTTTATATTTATTGCTATGTTAAATATTTACATATTAAAAATGGGGGCATGCATTTAGTTTATGGTGATTTAAACTTTCATGGATTAAAGCATATGTGTGTCTCATTTTCAATGCCACTAGATCCACTAGATCAGTGTTTCTCAACCTTGGCATCTTTCAGATGTGTGGACTTCAACTTTCAGATGTGTGGACTTCAACTT